GTCGCTTGTACCCTTTAAAAATGTTGCTTCTGCTGCTTTTCTTGAACAAAACAAAAGAGTCTGCGGGGAATCAACAAGAGCTTGTTCGAAAAGCACGGGAAAAGATTTTTGTCGGCATAACGTGAAGACAACACAGATGGTCATCCTCTGATTTTGAATATTACTTACAGAATAATGTTTCGGTCTTTTGCATGACTCATGTAACATGATTAGCGTGTAGTCTTTCCCACTCCTTGGCTCCTTCAAAAAAGTTACAAACACATTAGATCACAGTCAGCCTAATGAGCGCGTGCACTCCACGAGAGTCTGCGTCGGATAGGATTGCAAAATTGCCACTTACCAACAAAACTCGGTAGAGAGGCCGTTTCTATCCAGGAAGCTATTGCTTCATATACGGGAGTGTTTATAAACTGAAAAAGATAAAATGCAGCCATTAATCTGCTTGCCGTCTGTGATCAGTAGCCAACGGAGCCAGCATATTTTAATTTGTCGATCACAACCTGAAATAACGGCCGGCGACCGGCGGTTCCCTAGCCAAAACGCGCAAACTTCTAGCGCAAACTTTTACCCGACGTCCTAAAAAATCTCAATGAATCGGGTAAAGTTTTATGCGAGAGCAGATGAGCACTGTGCAAACTGCTATGAGCAGATATGCCGAAATATATAGCCTTAGAGGTGCTGCAGCCATTGGCATTAATTTGGTATTATTATACGAGACAAAAGAAGTTAAATTTCTATTCAATTCGCGACTCTTCTAAGTTCAGTTTTAACAAGTTAAAATTAAACGACTCAATTTGTTATTTGCACTGAAATGTTCGGAAATAGTACAGAATTATTACAGCCTATTAATAGCTTAAATATTCAAATTAACCGTTTCATCTTTTTGTAGATATCAATGAATGCGAAACAAATCCTTGTGATGAAAATGCAAATTGTACAAATGTAGATGGTTCGTATGAATGTACCTGCCATGAGGGCTATGAAGGAAACGGCAAAAATTGTACAGGTATAGCTTAGAGACATAATTATTATTGGGGCTTATAATTATGTAATATATATAGATATACTACTCTAGTAAAAGACGTACTGGTGCCAAAAGTATTTGTAAAAAACCTTTAATTCTAGTTTCTCATAACAAAAAAAAGAAAAAATCTTTTCCTGACTAAAAGCCAAAATAAGAATTTTAACTGTCTTAAAGATTTCAATAAGTGCGAAGACAATCCTTGCCATGTGAATGCAAATTGCACCACTGTTAATGGATGGTATGAATGTAACTGTCACGAGGGATATGAAGGCAATGGCACCAGCTGCACAGGTACATCATAAAAGTCTACAATAATCCAAGTTTACGGTTAACGGATGGATAGTTATACATTCATCAGGAGCGGATCCTGATTCGCATCTTTGAACAAATCAAAGACGCAAAAATAAATATAAAATTGGCCAATAATAAGAATAGTCCTTAAAAAGGTACCCAGTAAAACACGACAAAAAATAATAGTGAAGGTCGAATAAAGCGAAATGTGGTATATTCTACCCTGGAAAGATCTAATAAATTAGAATGTGGTATATTTGGACCATTTTTTGTTATGTGGTATGTTATACCTCGATACGATCGAATATGCCGAAATATATAGCCTTAGAGGTGCTGCAGCCATTGGCATTAATTTGGTACCGGTATTATTATACGAGACAAAAGAAGTTAAATTTCTATTCAATTCGCGACTCTTCTAAGTTCAGTTTTAACAAGTTAAAATTAAACGACTCAATTTGTTATTTGCACTGAAATGTTCGGAAATAGTACAGAATTATTACAGCCTATTAATAGCTTAAATATTCAAATTAACCGTTTCATCTTTTTGTAGATATCAATGAATGCGAAACAAATCCTTGTGATGAAAATGCAAATTGTACAAATGTAGATGGTTCGTATGAATGTACCTGCCATGAGGGCTATGAAGGAAACGGCAAAAATTGTACAGGTATAGCTTAGAGACATTATTATTGGGGCTTATAATTATGTAATATATATAGATATACTACTCTAGTAAAAGACGTACTGGTGCCAAAAGTATTTTGTAAAAAAACCTTTAATTCTAGTTTCTCATAACAAAAAAAAGAAAAAATCTTTTCCTGACTAAAAGCCAAAATAAGAATTTTAACTGTCTTAAAGATTTCAATAAGTGCGAAGACAATCCTTGCCATGTGAATGCAAATTGCACAACTGTTAATGGATGGTATGAATGTAACTGTCACGAGGGATATGAAGGCAATGGCACCAGCTGCACAGGTACATCATAAAAGTCTACAATAATCCAAGTTTACGGTTAACGGATGGATAGTTATACATCCATCAGGAGCAGATCCTGATTCGCATCTTCGAACAAATCAAAGACGCAAAAATAAATATAAAATTGGCCAATAAGAATAGTCCTTAAAAAGGTACCCAGTAAAACACGACAAAAAATAATAGTGAAGGTCGAATAAAGCGAAATGTGGTATATTCTACCCTGGAAAGATCTAATAAATTAGAATGTGGTATATTTGGACCATTTTTTGTTATGTGGTATGTTATACCTCGATACGATCGAATATGCCGAAATATATAGCCTTAGAGGTGCTGCAGCCATTGGCATTAATTTGGTATTATTATACGAGACAAAAGAAGTTAAATTTCTATTCAATTCGCGACTCTTCTAAGTTCAGTTTTAACAAGTTAAAATTAAACGACTCAATTTGTTATTTGCACTGAAATGTTCGGAAATAGTACAGAATTATTACAGCCTATTAATAGCTTAAATATTCAAATTAACCGTTTCATCTTTTTGTAGATATCAATGAATGCGAAACAAATCCTTGTGATGAAAATGCAAATTGTACAAATGTAGATTCGTATGAATGTACCTGCCATGAGGGCTATGAAGGAAACGGCAAAAATTGTACAGGTATAGCTTAGAGACATAATTATTATTGGGCTTATATAATTATATATATATAGATATACTACTCTAGTAAAAGACGTACTGGTGCCAAAAGTATTTTGTAAAAAACCTTTAATTCTAGTTTCTCATAACAAAAAAAGAAAAAATCTTTTCCTGACTAAAAGCCAAAATAAAATTTTAACTGTCTTAAAGATTTCAATAAGTGCGAAGACAATCCTTGCCATGTGAATGCAAATTGCACCACTGTTAATGGATGGTATGAATGTAACTGTCACGAGGGATATGAAGGCAATGGCACCAGCTGCACAGGTACATCATAAAAGTCTACAATAATCCAAGTTTACGGTTAACGGATGGATAGTTATACATTCATCAGGAGCGGATCCTGATTCGCATCTTTGAACAAATCAAAGACGCAAAAATAAATATAAAATTGGCCAATAATAAGAATAGTCCTTAAAAAGGTACCCAGTAAAACACGACAAAAAAAATAGTGAATAAAGCGAATGTGGTATATTCTACCCTGGAAAGATCTAATAAATTAGAATGTGGTATATTTGGACCATTTTTTGTTATGTGGTATGTTATACCTCGATACGATCGAATATGCCGAAATATATAGCCTTAGAGGTGCTGCAGCCATTGGCATTAATTTGGTATTATTATACGAGACAAAAGAAGTTAAATTTCTATTCAATTCGCGACTCTTCTAAGTTCAGTTTTAACAAGTTAAAATTAAACGACTCAATTTGTTATTTGCACTGAAATGTTCGGAAATAGTACAGAATTATTACAGCCTATTAATAGCTTAAATATTCAAATTAACCGTTTCATCTTTTTGTAGATATCAATGAATGCGAAACAAATCCTTGTGATGAAAATGCAAATTGTACAAATGTAGATGGTTCGTATGAATGTACCTGCCATGAGGGCTATGAAGGAAACGGCAAAAATTGTACAGGTATAGCTTAGAGACATAATTATTATTGGGGCTTATAATTATGTATATATAGATATACTACTCTAGTAAAAGACGTACTGGTGCCAAAAGTATTTTGTAAAAACCTTTAATTCTAGTTTCTCATAACAAAAAAAAGAAATCTTTTCCTGACTAAAAGCCAAAATAAGAATTTTAACTGTCTTAAAGATTTCAATAAGTGCGAAGACAATCCTTGCCATGTGAATGCAAATTGCACACTGTTAATGGATGGTATGAATGTAACTGTCACGAGGGATATGAAGGCAATGGCACCAGCTGCACAGGTACATCATAAAAGTCTACAATAATCCAAGTTTACGGTTAACGGATGGATAGTTATACATTCATCAGGAGCGGATCCTGATTCGCATCTTTGAACAAATCAAAGACGCAAAAATAAATATAAAATTGGCCAAAATAAGACTAGTCCTTAAAAAGGTACCCAGTAAAACACGACAAAAAATAATAGTGAAAGTCGAATAAAGCGAAATGTGGTATATTCTACCCTGGAAAGATCTAATAAATTAGAATGTGGTATATTTGGACCATTTTTTGTTATGTGGTATGTTATACCTCGATACGATCGAATATGCCGAAATATATAGCCTTAGAGGTGCTGCAGCCATTGGCATTAATTTGGTATTATTATACGAGACAAAAGAAGTTAAATTTCTATTCAATTCGCGACTCTTCTAAGTTCAGTTTTAACAAGTTAAAATTAAACGACTCAATTTGTTATTTGCACTGAAATGTTCGGAAATAGTACAGAATTATTACAGCCTATTAATAGCTTAAATATTCAAATTAACCGTTTCATCTTTTTGTAGATATCAATGAATGCGAAACAAATCCTTGTGATGAAAATGCAAATTGTACAAATGTAGATGGTTCGTATGAATGTACCTGCCATGAGGCTATGAAGGAAACGGCAAAAATTGTACAGGTATAGCTTAGAGACATAATTATTATTGGGGCTTATAATTATGTAATATATATAGATATACTACTCTAGTAAAAGACGTACTGGTGCCAAAAGTATTTTGTAAAAACCTTAATTCTAGTTTCTCATAACAAAAAAAAGAAAAAATCTTTTCCTGACTAAAAGCCAAAATAATAATTTTAACTGTCTTAAAGATTTCAATAAGTGCGAAGACAATCCTTGCCATGTGAATGCAAATTGCACACTGTTAATGGATGGTATGAATGTAACTGTCACGAGGGATATGAAGGCAATGGCACCAGCTGCACAGGTACATCATAAAAGTCTACAATAATCCAAGTTTACGGTTAACGGATGGATAGTTATACATTCATCAGGAGCGGATCCTGATTCGCATCTTTGAACAAATCAAAGACGCAAAAATAAATATAAAATTGGCCAATAATAAGATAGTCCTTAAAAAGGTACCCAGTAAAACACGACAAAAAATAATAGTGAAGGTCGAATAAAGCGAAATGTGGTATATTCTACCCTGGAAAGATCTAATAAATTAGAATGTGGTATATTTGGACCATTTTTTGTTATGTGGTATGTTATACCTCGATACGATCGAATATGCCGAAATATATAGCCTTAGAGGTGCTGCAGCCATTGGCATTAATTTGGTATTATTATACGAGACAAAAGAAGTTAAATTTCTATTCAATTCGCGACTCTTCTAAGTTCAGTTTTAACAAGTTAAAATTAAACGACTCAATTTGTTATTTGCACTGAAATGTTCGGAAATAGTACAGAATTATTACAGCCTATTAATAGCTTAAATATTCAAATTAACCGTTTCATCTTTTTGTAGATATCAATGAATGCGAAACAAATCCTTGTGATGAAAATGCAAATTGTACAAATGTAGATGGTTCGTATGAATGTACCTGCCATGAGGGCTATGAAGGAAACGGCAAAAATTGTACAGTGGCTTAGAGACATTATTATTGGGGCTTATAATTATGTAATATATATAGATATACTACTCTAGTAAAAGACGTACTGGTGCCAAAAGTATTTTGTAAAAAAACCTTTAATTCTAGTTTCTCATAACAAAAAAGAAAAAAATCTTTTCCTGACTAAAAGCCAAAATAATAATTTTAACTGTCTTAAAGATTTCAATAAGTGCGAAGACAATCCTTGCCATGTGAATGCAAATTGCACCACTGTTAATGGATGGTATGAATGTAACTGTCACGGGATATGAAGGCAATGGCACCAGCTGCACAGGTACATCATAAAAGTCTATAATCCAAGTTTACGGTTAACGGATGGATAGTTATACATTCATCAGGAGCGGATCCTGATTCGCATCTTTGAACAAATCAAAGACGCAAAAATAAATATAAAATTGGCCAATAATAAGAATAGTCCTTAAAAAGGTACCCAGTAAAACACGACAAAAAATAATAGTGAAGGTCGAATAAAGCGAAATGTGGTATATTCTACCCTGGAAAGATCTAATAAATTAGAATGTGGTATATTTGGACCATTTTTTGTTATGTGGTATGTTATACCTCGATACGATCGAATATGCCGAAATATATAGCCTTAGAGGTGCTGCAGCCATTGGCATTAATTTGGTATTATTATACGAGACAAAAGAAGTTAAATTTCTATTCAATTCGCGACTCTTCTAAGTTCAGTTTTAACAAGTTAAAATTAAACGACTCAATTTGTTATTTGCACTGAAATGTTCGGAAATAGTACAGAATTATTACAGCCTATTAATAGCTTAAATATTCAAATTAACCGTTTCATCTTTTTGTAGATATCAATGAATGCGAAACAAATCCTTGTGATGAAAATGCAAATTGTACAAATGTAGATGGTTCGTATGAATGTACCTGCCATGAGGGCTATGAAGGAAACGGCAAAAATTGTACAGGTATAGCTTAGAGACATAATTATTATTGGGGCTTATAATTATGTAATATATATAGATATACTACTCTAGTAAAAGACGTACTGGTGCCAAAAGTATTTTGTAAAAAACCTTTAATTCTAGTTTCTCATAACAAAAAAAAAAAAATCTTTTCCTGACTAAAAGCCAAAATAAAATTTTAACTGTCTTAAAGATTTCAATAAGTGCGAAGACAATCCTTGCCATGTGAATGCAAATTGCACCACTGTTAATGGATGGTATGAATGTAACTGTCACGAGGGATATGAAGGCAATGGCACCAGCTGCACAGGTACATAAAAGTCTACAATAATCCAAGTTTACGGTTAACGGATGGATAGTTTACATTCATCAGGAGCGGATCCTGATTCGCATCTTTGAACAAATCAAAGACGCAAAAAAAATAAAATTGGCCAAAATAAGACTAGTCCTTAAAAAGGTACCCAGTAAAACACGACAAAAAATAATAGTGAAGTCGAATAAAGCGAAATGTGGTATATTCTACCCTGGAAAGATCTAATAAATTAGAATGTGGTATTTGGACCATTTTTTGTTATGTGGTATGTTATACCTCGATACGATCGAATATGCCGAAATATATAGCCTTAGAGGTGCTGCAGCCATTGGCATTAATTTGGTATTATTATACGAGACAAAAGAAGTTAAATTTCTATTCAATTCGCGACTCTTCTAAGTTCAGTTTTAACAAGTTAAAATTAAACGACTCAATATTATTTGCACTGAATGTTCGGAAAATAGTACAGAATTATTACAGCCTATTAATAGCTTAAATATCAATTAACCGTTTCATCTTTTTGTAGATATCAATGAATGCGAAACAAATCCTTGTGATGAAAATGCAAATTGTACAAATGTAGATGGTTCGTATGAATGTACCTGCCATGAGGGCTATGAAGGAAACGGCAAAAATTGTACAGGTATAGCTTAGAGACATTATTATTGGGCTTATAATTATGTAATATATATAGATATACTACTCTAGTAAAAGACGTACTGGTGCCGAAAGTATTTTGTAAAACAACTTAATTCTAGTTTCTCATAACAAAAAAGAAAAAATCTTTTCCTGACTAAAAGCCAAAATAATAATTTTAACTGTCTTAAAGATTTCAATAAGTGCGAAGACAATCCTTGCCATGTGAATGCAAATTGCACACTGTTAATGGATGGTATGAATGTAACTGTCACGAGGGATATGAAGGCAATGGCACCAGCTGCACAGGTACATCATAAAAGTCTACAATAATCCAAGTTTACGGTTAACGGATGGATAGTTATACATTCATCAGGAGCGGATCCTGATTCGCATCTTTGAACAAATCAAAGACGCAAAATAAATATAAAATTGGCCAAAATAAGAATAGTCCTTAAAAAGGTACCCAGTAAAACACGACAAAAAATAATAGTGAAGGTCGAATAAAGCGAAATGTGGTATATTCTACCCTGGAAAGATCTAATAAATTAGAATGTGGTATATTTGGACCATTTTTTGTTATGTGGTATGTTATACCTCGATACGATCGAATATGCCGAAATATATAGCCTTAGAGGTGCTGCAGCCATTGGCATTAATTTGGTATTATTATACGAGACAAAAGAAGTTAAATTTCTATTCAATTCGCGACTCTTCTAAGTTCAGTTTTAACAAGTTAAAATTAAACGACTCAATTTGTTATTTGCACTGAAATGTTCGGAAATAGTACAGAATTATTACAGCCTATTAATAGCTTAAATATTCAAATTAACCGTTTCATCTTTTTGTAGATATCAATGAATGCGAAACAAATCCTTGTGATGAAAATGCAAATTGTACAAATGTAGATGGTTCGTATGAATGTACCTGCCATGAGGGCTATGAAGGAAACGGCAAAAATTGTACAGGTATAGCTTAGAGACATAATTATTATTGGGGCTTATAATTATGTAATATATATAGATATACTACTCTAGTAAAAGACGTACTGGTGCCAAAAGTATTTTGTAAAAAACCTTTAATTCTAGTTTCTCATAAAAAAAAGAAAAAATCTTTTCCTGACTAAAAGCCAAAATAATAATTTTAACTGTCTTAAAGATTTCAATAAGTGCGAAGAATCCTTGCCATGTGAATGCAAATTGCACAACTGTTAATGGATGGTATGAATGTAACTGTCACGAGGGATATGAAGGCAATGGCACCAGCTGCACAGGTACATCATAAAAGTCTACAATAATCCAAGTTTACGGTTAACGGATGGATAGTTATACATTCATCAGGAGCGGATCCTGATTCGCATCTTTGAACAAATCAAAGACGCAAAAATAAATATAAAATTGGCCAAAATAAGACTAGTCCTTAAAAAGGTACCCAGTAAAACACGACAAAAATAATAGTGAAGGTCGAATAAAGCGAAATGTGGTATATTCTACCCTGGAAAGATCTAATAAATTAGAATGTGGTATATTTGGACCATTTTTTGTTATGTGGTATGTTATACCTCGATACGATCGAATATGCCGAAATATATAGCCTTAGAGGTGCTGCAGCCATTGGCATTAATTTGGTATTATTATACGAGACAAAAGAAGTTAAATTTCTATTCAATTCGCGACTCTTCTAAGTTCAGTTTTAACAAGTTAAAATTAAACGACTCAATTTGTTATTTGCACTGAAATGTTCGGAAATAGTACAGAATTATTACAGCCTATTAATAGCTTAAATATTCAAATTAACCGTTTCATCTTTTTGTAGATATCAATGAATGCGAAACAAATCCTTGTGATGAAAATGCAAATTGTACAAATGTAGATGGTTCGTATGAATGTACCTGCCATGAGGGCTATGAAGGAAACGGCAAAAATTGTACAGGTATAGCTTAGAGACATAATTATTATTGGGGCTTATAATTATGTAATATATATAGATATACTACACTCTAGTAAAAGACGTACTGGTGCCAAAAGTATTTTGTAAAAAACCTTTAATTCTAGTTTCTCATAACAAAAAAAAGAAAAAATCTTTTCCTGACTAAAAGCCAAAATAATATTTTAACTGTCTTAAAGATTTCAATAAGTGCGAAGACAATCCTTGCCATGTGAATGCAAATTGCACCACTGTTAATGGATGGTATGAATGTAACTGTCACGAGGGATATGAAGGCAATGGCACCAGCTGCACAGGTACATCATAAAAGTCTACAATAATCCAAGTTTACGGTTAACGGATGGATAGTTATACATTCATCAGGAGCGGATCCTGATTCGCATCTTTGAACAAATCAAAGACGCAAAAATAAATATAAAATTGGCCAATAATAAGAGTCCTTAAAAAGGTACCCAGTAAAACACGACAAAAAATAATAGTGAAGGTCGAATAAAGCGAAATGTGGTATATTCTACCCTGGAAAGGTCTAATAAACTAGAATGTGGTATATTTGGACCATTTTTTGTTATGTGGTATGTTATACCTCGATACGATCGAATATGCCGAAATATATAGCCTTAGAGGTGCTGCAGCCATTGGCATTAATTTGGTATTATTATACGAGACAAAAGAAGTTAAATTTCTATTCAATTCGCGACTCTTCTAAGTTCAGTTTTAACAAGTTAAAATTAAACGACTCAATTTGTTATTTGCACTGAAATGTTCGGAAATAGTACAGAATTATTACAGCCTATTAATAGCTTAAATATTCAAATTAACCGTTTCATCTTTTTGTAGATATCAATGAATGCGAAACAAATCCTTGTGATGAAAATGCAAATTGTACAAATGTAGATGGTTCGTATGAATGTACCTGCCATGAGGGCTATGAAGGAAACGGCAAAAATTGTACAGGTATAGCTTAGAGACATAATTATTATTGGGGCTTATAATTATGTAATATATATATAGATATACTACTCTAGTAAAAGACGTACTGGTGCCGAAAGTATTTTGTAAAACAACTTAAATTCTAGTTTCTCAACAAAAAAAAGAAAAAATCTTTTCCTGACTAAAAGCCAAAATAATAATTTTAACTGTCTTAAAGATTTCAATAAGTGCGAAGACAATCCTTGCCATGTGAATGCAAATTGCACCACTGTTAATGGATGGTATGAATGTAACTGTCACGAGGGATATGAAGGCAATGGCACCAGCTGCACAGGTACATCATAAAAGTCTACAATAATCCAAGTTTACGGTTAACGGATGGATAGTTATACATTCATCAGGAGCGGATCCTGATTCGCATCTTTGAACAAATCAAAGACGCAAAAATAAATATAAAATTGGCCAAAAATAAGACTAGTCTTTAAAAAGGTACCCAGTAAAACACGACAAAAAATAATAGTGAAAGTCGAATAAAGCGAAATGTGGTATATTCTACCCTGGAAAGATCTAATAAATTAGAATGTGGTATATTTGGACCATTTTTTGTTATGTGGTATGTTATACCTCGATACGATCGAATATGCCGAAATATATAGCCTTAGAGGTGCTGCTGCCATTGGCATTAATTTGGTATTATTATACGAGACAAAAGAAGTTAAATTTCTATTCAATTCGCGACTCTTCTAAGTTCAGTTTTAACAAGTTAAAATTAAACGACTCAATTTATTATTTGCACTGAAATGTTCGGAAATAGTACAGAATAATTACAGCCTATTAAAAGCTTAAATATTCAAATTAACCGTTTCATCTTTTTGTAGATATCAATGAATGCGAAACAAATCCTTGTGATGAAAATGCAAATTGTACAAATGTAGATGGTTATGAATGTACCTGCCATGAGGGCTATGAAGGAAACGGCAAAAATTGTACAGGTATAGCTTAGAGACATAATTATTATTGGGGCTTATAATTATGTAATATATATAGATATACTACTCTAGTAAAGACGTACTGGTGCCAAAAGTATTTTGTAAAAAACCTTTAATTCTAGTTTCTCATAACAAAAAAAGAAAAAATCTTTTCCTGACTAAAAGCCAAAATAATAATTTTAACTGTCTTAAAGATTTCAATAAGTGCGAAGACAATCCTTGCCATGTGAATGCAAATTGCACAACTGTTAATGGATGGTATGAATGTAACTGTCACGAGGGATATGAAGGCAATGGCACCAGCTGCACAGGTACATCATAAAAGTCTACAATAATCCAAGTTTACGGTTAACGGATGGATAGTTATACATTCATCAGGAGCGGATCCTGATTCGCATCTTTGAACAAATCAAAGACGCAAAAATAAATATAAAATTGGCCAAAATAAGATAGTCCTTAAAAAGGTACCCAGTAAAACACGACAAAAAATAATAGTGAAGGTCGAATAAAGCGAAATGTGGTATATTCTACCCTGGAAAGATCTAATAAATTAGAATGTGGTATATTTGGACCATTTTTTGTTATGTGGTATGTTATACCTCGATACGATCGAATATGCCGTATATAGCCTTAGAGGTGCTGCAGCCATTGGCATTAATTTGGTATTATTATACGAGACAAAAGAAGTTAAATTTCTATTCAATTCGCGACTCTTCTAAGTTCAGTTTTAACAAGTTAAAATTAAACGACTCAATTTGTTATTTGCACTGAAATGTTCGGAAATAGTACAGAATTATTACAGCCTATTAAAAGCTTAAATATTCAAATTAACCGTTTCATCTTTTTGTAGATATCAATGAATGCGAAACAAATCCTTGTGATGAAAATGCAAATTCTACAAATGTAGATGGTTCGTATGAATGTACCTGCCATGAGGGCTATGAAGGAAACGGCAAAAATTGTACAGGTATAGCTTAGAGACATAATTATTATTGGGGCTTATAATTATGTAATATATATATATATAGATATACTACTCTAGTAAAAGACGTACTGGTGCCGAAAGTATTTTGTAAAACAACTTAAATTCTAGTTTCTCATAACAAAAAAAAAAAAAATCTTTTCCTGACTAAAAGCCAAAAATAATTTTAACTGTCTTAAAGATTTCAATAAGTGCGAAGACAATCCTTGCCATGTGAATGCAAATTGCACCACTGTTAATGGATGGTATGAATGTAACTGTCACGAGGGATATGAAGGCAATGGCACCAGCTGCACAGGTACATCATAAAAGTCTACAATAATCCAAGTTTACGGTTAACGGATGGATAGTTATACATTCATCAGGAGCGGATCCTGATTCGCATCTTTGAACAAATCAAAGACGCAAAAATAAATATAAAATTGGCCAATAATAAGAATAGTCCTTAAAAAGGTACCCAGTAAAACACGACAAAAAATAATAGTGAAGGTCGAATAAAGCGAAATGTGGTATATTCTACCCTGGAAAGGTCTAATAAATTAGAATGTGGTATATTTGGACCATTTTTTGTTATGTGGTATGTATATACCTCGATACGATCGAATATGCCGAAATATATAGCCTTAGAGGTGCTGCAGCCATTGGCATTAATTTGGTATTATTTACGAGACAAAAGAAGTTAAATTTCTATTCAATTCGCGACTCTTCTAAGTTCAGTTTTAAAAAGTGAAAATTAAACAACTCAATTTGTTATTTGCACTGAAATCTAAAGAAAAAGTAGAATTATTACAGCCTATCAATAGATGAAATAATCAATTTAACCGTTTCATCTGTTTGTAGATATCGATGAATGCGAAACAAATCCTTGTGGTGAAAATGCAAATTGTACAAATGTAGATGGTTCGTATGAATGTACCTGCCATGAGGGCTATGAAGGAAACGGCAAAAATTGTACAGGTATAGCTTAGAGACATAATTATTATTGGGGCTTATAATTATGTAATATATATAGATATACTACTCTAGTAAAAGACGTACTGGTGCCAAAAGTATTTTGTAAAACAACTTAAATTCTAGTTTCTCATAACAAAAAAAAGAAAAAATCTTTTCCTGACTAAAAGCCCAAAATAATAATTTTAACTGTCTTAAAGATGTCAATGAGTGCGAAGACAATCCTTGCCATGTGAATGCAAATTGCACCACTGTTAATGGATGGTATGAATGTAACTGTCACGAGGGATATGAAGGCAATGGCACCAGATGCACAGGTACATCATAAAAGTCTACAATAATCCAAGTTTACGGTTAACGGATGGATAGTTATACATTCATCAGGAGCGGATCCTGATTCGCATCTTTGAACAAATCAAAGACGCAAAAATAAATATAAAATTGGCCAAAAATAAGACTAGTCCTTAAAAAGGTACCCAGTAAAACACGACAAAAAATAATAGTGAAGTCGAATAAAGCGAAATGTGGTATATTCTACCCTGGAAAGATCTAATAAATTAGAATGTGGTATATTTGGACCATTTTTTGTTATGTGGTATGTTATACCTCGATACGATCGAATATGCCGAAATATAAAGCCTTAGAGGTGCTGCAGCCATTGGCATTAATTTGGTATTATTATACGAGACAAAAGAAGTTAAATTTCTATTCAATTCGCGACTCTTCTAAGTTCAGTTTTAACAAGTTAAAATTAAACGACTCAATTTGTTATTTGCACTGAAATGTTCGGAAATAGTACAGAATTATTACAGCCTATTAATAGCTTAAATATTCAAATTAACCGTTTCATCTTTTTGTAGATATCAATGAATGCGAAACAAATCCTTGTGATGAAAATGCAAATTGTACAAATGTAGATGGTTCGTATGAATGTACCTGCCATGAGGGCTATGAAGGAAACGGCAAAAATTGTACAGGTATAGCTTAGAGACATAATTATTATTGGGACTTATAATTATGTAATATATATAGATATACTACTCTAGTAAAAGACGTACTGGTGCCAAAAGTATTTTGTAAAACAACCTTTAATTCTAGTTTCTCATAACAAAAAAAAGAAAAAATCTTTTCCTGACTAAAAGCCAAAATAATAATTTTAACTGTCTTAAAGATTTCAATAAGTGCGAAGACAATCCTTGCCATGTGAATGCAAATTGCACCACTGTTAATGGATGGTATGAATGTAACTGTCACGAGGATATGAAGGCAATGGCACCAGCTGCACAGGTACATCATAAAAGTCTACAATAATCCAAGTTTACGGTTAACGGATGGATAGTTATACATTCATCAGGAGCGGATCCTGATTCGCATCTTTGAACAAATCAAAGACGCAAAAATAAATATAAAATTGGCCAAAAATAAGACTAGTCCTTAAAAAGGTACCCAGTAAAACACGACAAAAAATAATAGTGAAGGTCGAATAAAGCGAAATGTGGTATATTCTACCCTGGAAAGATCTAATAAATTAGAATGTGGTATATTTGGACCATTTTTTGTTATGTGGTATGTTATACCTCGATACGATCGAATATGCCGAAATATATAGCCTTAGAGGTGCTGCAGCCATTGGCATTAATTTGGTATTATTATACGAGAAAAGAAGTTAAATTTCTATTCAATTCGCGACTCTTCTAAGTTCAGTTTTAACAAGTTAAAATTAAACGACTCAATTTGTTATTTGCACTGAAATGTTCGGAAATAGTACAGAATTATTACAGCCTATTAATAGCTTAAATATTCAAATTAACCGTTTCATCTTTTTGTAGATATCAATGAATGCGAAACAAATCCTTGTGATGAAAATGCAAATTGTACAAATGTAGATGGTTCGTATGAATGTACCTGCCATGAGGGCTATGAAGGAAACGGCAAAAATTGTACAGGTATAGCTTAGAGACATAATTTTTATTGGGGCTTATAATTATGTAATATATATAGATATACTACTCTAGTAAAAGACGTACTGGTGCCAAAGTATTTTGTAAACAACTTAATTCTAGTTTCTCATAACAAAAAAAAGAAAAAATATTTTCCTGACTAAAAGCCAAAATAAAATTTTAACTGTCTTAAAGATTTCAATAAGTGCGAAGACAATCCTTGCCATGTGAATGCAAATTGCACCACTGTTAATGGATGGTATGAATGTAACTGTCACGAGGGATATGAAGGCAATGGCACAAGCTGCACAGGTACATCATAAAAGTCTACAATAATCCAGGTTTAGGGTTAACGAATGGATATTTATACATCCATCAGGAGCGGATCCTGATTCGCATCTTTGAACAAATCAAAGACGCAAAAATAAATATAAAATTGGCCAAAAATAAGACTAGTCCTTAAAAAGGTACCCAGTAAAACACGACAAAAAATAATAGTGAAGGTCGAATAAAGCGAAATGTGGTATATTCTACCCTGGAAAGATCTAATAAATTAGAATGTGGTATATTTGGACCATTTTTTGTTATGTGGTATGTTATACCTCGATACGATCGAATATGCCGAAATATATAGCCTTAGAGGTGCTGCAGCCATTGGCATTAATTTGGTATTATTATACGAGACAAAAGAAGTTAAATTTCTATTCAATTCGCGACTCTTCTAAGTTCAGTTTTAACAAGTTAAAATTAAACGACTCAATTTGTTATTTGCACTGAAATGTTCGGAAATAGTACAGAATTATTACAGCCTATTAATAGCTTAAATATTCAAATTAACCGTTTCATCTTTTTGTAGATATCAATGAATGCGAAACAAATCCTTGTGATTTAAATGCAAATTGTACAAATGTAGATGGTTCGTATGAATGTACCTGCCATGAGGGCTATGAAGGAAACGGCAAAAATTGTACAGGTATAGCTTAGAGACATAATTATTATTGGGGCTTATAATTATGTAATATATATAGATATACTACTCTAGTAAAAGACGTACTGGTGCCAAAAGTATTTTGTAAAAAAACCTTTAATTCTAGTTTCTCATAACAAAAAAAAGAAAAAATCTTTTCCTGACTAAAAGCCAAAAAAAGAATTTTAACTGTCTTAAAGATTTCAATAAGTGCGAAGACAATCCTTGCCATGTGAATGCAAATTGCACCACTGTTAATGGATGGTATGAATGTAACTGTCACGAGGGATATGAAGGCAATGGCACCAGCTGCACAGGTACATCATAAAAGTCTACAATAATCCAAGTTTACGGTTAACGATGGATTTATACATTCATCAGGAGCGGATCCTGATTCGCATCTTTGAACAAATCAAAGACGCAAAAATAAATATAAAATTGGCCAAAATAAGACTAGTCCTTAAAAGGTACCAGTAAAACACGACAAAAAATAATAGTGAAGGTCGAATAAAGCGAAATGTGGTATATTCTACCCTGGAAAGATCTAATAAATTAGAATGTGGTATTTGGACCATTTTTTGTTATGTGGTATGTTATACCTCGATACGATCGAATATGCCGAAAATATAGCCTTAGAGGTGCTGCAGCCATTGGCATTAATTTGGTATTATTATACGAGACAAAGAAGTTAAATTTCTATTCAATTCGCGACTCTTCTAAGTTCAGTTTTAACAAGTTAAAATTAAACGACTCAATTTGTTATTTGCACTGAAATGTTCGGAAATAGTACAGAATTATTACAGCCTATTAATAGCTTAAATATTCAAATTAACCGTTTCATCTTTTTGTAGATATCAATGAATGCGAAACAAATCCTTGTGATGAAAATGCAAATTGTACAAATGTAGATGGTTCGTATGAATGTACCTGCCATGAGGGCTATGAAGGAAACGGCAAAAATTGTACAGGTAGCTTAGAGACATATTATTATTGGGCTTATAATTATGTAATATATATAGATATACTACTCTAGTAAAGACGTACTGGTGCCGAAAGTATTTTGTAAAAAACTTTAATTCTAGTTTCTCATAACAAAAAAAAGAAAAATCTTTTCCTGACTAAAAGCCAAAATAAATTTTAACTGTCTTAAAGATTTCAATAAGTGCGAAGACAATCCTTGCCATGTGAATGCAAATTGCACCACTGTTAATGGATGGTATGAATGTAACTGTCACGAGGGATATGAAGGCAATGGCACCAGCTGCACAGGTACATCATAAAAGTCTACAATAATCCAAGTTTACGGTTAACGGATGGATAGTTATACATTCATCAGGAGCGGATCCTGATTCGCATCTTTGAACAAATCAAAGACGCAAAAATAAATATAAAATTGGCCAAATAAGAATAGTCCTTAAAAAGGTACCCAGTAAAACACGACAAAAAATAATAGTGAAGGTCGAATAAAGCGAAATGTGGTATATTCTACCCTGGAAAGATCTAATAAATTAGAATGTGGTATATTTGGACCATTTTTTGTTATGTGGTGTTATATACCTCGATACGATCGAATATGCCGAAATATATAGCCTTAGAGGTGCTGCAGCCATTGGCATTAATTTGGTATTATTATACGAGACAAAAGAAGTTAAATTTCTATTCAATTCGCGACTCTCTAAGTTCAGTTTTAACAAGTTAAAATTAAACGACTCAATTTGTTATTTGCACTGAAATGTTCGGAAATAGTACAGAATTATTACAGCCTATTAATAGCTTAAATATTCAAATTAACCGTTTCATCTTTTTGTAGATATCAATGAATGCGAAACAAATCCTTGTGGTGAAAATGCAAATTGTACAAATGTAGATGGTTCGTATGAATGTACCTGCCACGAGGGCCATGCAGGAAACGGCAAAAATTGTACAGGTATAGCTTAGAGACATAATTATTATTGGGCTTATAATTATGTAATATATATAGATATACTACTCTAGTAAAAGACGTACTGGTGCCGAAAGTATTTTGTAAAACAACCTTTAATTCTAGTTTCTCATAACAAAAAAAGAAAAAATCTTTTCCTGACTAAAACCCAAAATAATAATTTTAACTGTCTTAAAGATGTCAATGAGTGCGAAGACAATCCTTGCCATGTGAATGCAAATTGCACCACTGTTAATGGATGGTATGAATGTAACTGTCACGAAGGATATGAAGGCAATGGCACCAGCTGTACAGGTACATCATAAAAGTCTACAATAATCCAAGTTTACGGTTAACGATGGATATATACATCATCAGGAACGTATCCTGATTCGCATCATTGACCAAATCACAAACGAAAAAATAAATAATTTTATAAAATTGGCCGAAATAAGACTAGTCTTTGGAAAGGTACCGAGTAAAACACGATAAAAAATAATAGTGAAGGTCAAATACAACGAAATGTGGTATATTCCAGCCTGGAAAAGGTCTAATAATTTCGAATGTGGTATATTTGGACCATTTTTTGTTATGTGGTATGTTATACCTCGATACGATCGAATATGCCGAAATATATAGCCTTAGAGGTGCTGCAGCCATTGGCATTAATTGGGTATTATTATACGAGAGACAAGAAGTTAAATTTCTATTCAATTCGAAACTCTTCCAAGTTCAGTTTTAACAAGTGAAAATTAAACAACTCAATTTGTTATTTGCACTGAAATGTTCGGAATAGTACAGAATTATTACAGCCTATTTATAGATAAAATAATCAATTTAACCGTTTCATCTTTTTATAGATATCGATGAATGCGAGACAAATCCTTGTGATGAAAATGCAAATTGTACAAATGTAGATGGTTCGTATGAATGTACCTGCCACGAGGGCTATGAAGGAACGGCAAAAATTGTACAGGTATAGCTTAGAGACAATTATTATTGGGCTTATAATTATGTAATATATTATAGATATACTACTCTAGTAAAAGACGTACTGGTGCCGAAAGTTTTGTAAAAAACTTAAATTCTAGTTTCTCATAACAAAAAAAAGAAAAAATCTTTTCCTGACTAAAAGCCAAAATAATAATTTTAACTGTCTTAAAGATTTCAATAAGTGCGAAGACAATCCTTGCCATGTGAATGCAAATTGCACCACTGTTAATGGATGGTATGAATGTAACTGTCACGAGGGATATGAAGGCAATGGCACCAGCTGCACAGGTACATCATAAAAGTCTACAATAATCCAAGTTTACGGTTAACGGATGGTTTATACATTCATCAGGGCGGATCCTGATTCGCATCTTTGACAAATCAAAGACGCAAAATAAATATAAAATTGGCCCAATAATAAGACTAGTCCTTAAAAAGGTACCCAGTAAAACACGACAAAAATAATAGTGAAGGTCGATAAAGCGAAATGTGGTATATTCTACCCTGGAAAGATCTAATAATTAGAATGTGGGTATATTTGGACCATTTTTTGTTATGTGGTATGTTATACCTCGATACGATCGAATATGCCGAAATATATAGCCTTAGAGGTGCTGCAGCCATTGGCATTAATTTGGTATTATTTACGAGACAAAAGAAGTTAAATTTCTATTCAATTCGCGACTCTTCTAAGTTCAGTTTTAACAAGTTAAAATTAAACGACTCAATTTGTTATTTGCACTGAAATGTTCGGAAATAGTACAGAATTATTACAGCCTATTAATAGCTTAAATATTCAAATTAACCGTTTCATCTTTTTGTAGATATCAATGAATGCGAACAAATCCTTGTGATGAAAATGCAAATTGTACAAATGTAGATGGTTCGTATGAATGTACCTGCCATGAGGGCTATGAAGGAAACGGCAAAAATTGTACAGGTATAGCTTAGAGACATAATTATTATTGGGGCTTATAATTATGTAATATATATAGATATACTACTCTAGTAAAAGACGTACTGGTGCCAAAAAGTATTTTGTAAAACAACCTTTAATTCTAGTTTCTCATAAAAAAAAAGAAAAAATCTTTTCCTGACTAAAAGCCAAAATAATAATTTTAACTGTCTTAAAGATTTCAATAAGTGCGAAGACAATCCTTGCCATGTGAATGCAAATTGCACCACTGTTAATGGATGGTATGAATGTAACTGTCACGAGGGATATGAAGGCAATGGCACCAGCTGCACAGGTACATCATAAAAGTCTACAATAATCCAAGTTTACGGTTAACGGATGGATAGTTATACATTCATCAGGAGCGGATCCTGATTCGCATCTTTGAACAAATCAAAGACGCAAAAATAAAATATAAAATTGGCCAATAATAAGAATAGTCCTTAAAAAGGTACCCAGTAAAACACGACAAAAATAATAGTGAAGGTCGAATAAAGCGAAATGTGGTATATTCTACCCTGGAAAGATCTAATAAATTAGAATGTGGTATATTTGGACCATTTTTTGTTATGTGGTATGTTATACCTCGATACGATCGAATATGCCGAAATATATAGCCTTAGAGGTGCTGCAGCCATTGGCATTAATTTGTTTATTATACGAGACAAAAGAAGTTAAATTTCTATTCAATTCGCGACTCTTCTAAGTTCAGTTTTAACAAGTTAAAATTAAACGACTCAATTTGTTATTTGCACTGAAATGTTCGGAAATAGTACAGAATTATTACAGCCTATTAATAGCTTAATATTCAAATTAACCGTTTCATCTTTTTGTAGATATCAATGAATGCGAAACAAATCCTTGTGATGAAAATGCAAATTGTACAAATGTAGATGGTTCGTATGAATGTACCTGCCATGAGGGCTATGAAGGAAACGGCAAAATTGTACAGGTATAGCTTAGAGACAATTATTATTGGGCTTATAATTATGTATATATATAGATATACTACTCTAGTAAAAGACGTACTGGTGCCGAAAGTATTTTGTAAAACAACCTTAATTCTAGTTTCTCATAACAAAAAAAAAAAAATCTTTTCCTGACTAAAAGCCAAAATAATAATTTTAACTGTCTTAAAGATTTCAATAAGTGCGAAGACAATCCTTTGTGAATGCAAATTGCACCACTGTTTAATGGATGGTATGAATGTAACTGTCACGAGGGATATGAAGGCAATGGCACCAGCTGCACAGGTACATCATAAAAGTCTACAATAATCCAAGTTTACGGTTAACGGATGGATAGTTATACATTCATCAGGAGCGGATCCTGATTCGCATCTTTGAACAAATCAAAGACGCAAAAATAAATATAAAATTGGCCAAAATAAGAATAGTCCTTAAAAGGTACCCAGTAAAACACGACAAAAAATAATTAGTGAGTCGAATAAAGCGAAATGTGGTATATTCTACCCTGGAAAGATCTAATAAATTAGAATGTGGTATATTTGGACCATTTTTTGTTATGTGGTATGTTATACCTCGATACGATCGAATATGCCGAAATATATAGCCTTAGAGGTGCTGCAGCCATTGGCATTAATTTGG